AGACACTGTGCTACTAGTTGAACCAGTCAAACCAGTAAATACAACACCACCAGTAACACCTTCAAGTAACACCAACTGTTATTGAATGCATCATTTCTTGGCAACATGCTTTGTAGAAAAATGCTCATTGTGATCTAATTATTTCATTCTTTCTTTTTTTTTTTTTTTTTTAATTCTTGTCCTATAATAACAGGATCAATTCTCACTTGATAACATAATTAAATCGTTGGACAAAAATAAGGATGGATCTGTCAGCTTTGATGAGTTTTTGATGATTGTAAAAAAGATAACTGGTACAGGACAGTGAGGCGTCTGGAAGAACGAGTATCACTGCCTTGAAGAAGAGCCTAGCATTTGTTTACATAACATGTACATCTAAACCCACAGATTTGTTATTATTTTAAGGCATATGGAATAAAGATTTAACAGAAAAGAAAGCATGTTTGTGTTGTGTTTCATCCACAGTCACCAGCCACATATTCCAGCCAAAATGCCTTCCAACTCGTTCAGAACTACTGTTTCTATTTCACGCTACATTTGAGGTGTTATTTAACAAATCCTGCTTCACCTGGGCTATCATTTGGACCTCTAGAGAATTTTAAATCACACAGTTTCTAAAACACACAAAAAGAAAGGCACAGTAGTCTATTTGAGGAGTGTTTCCTAGAGTATCCTATCCAATACTCCTCACAGTTCAGTTTCATCATTCACAAAAGATGACACTTCGTAAAACAAGCAGTTCAAATATTTTAAAAATAAAGTACTTATTTTCAATAGCAATGTAACAATGCCAAGTATGATAACTGCAACATTGGATACCAATTTTAAATTAGATTTACATAAGTATGTACTTTTTTTGTTATGACTCTGTGATGGGAACATGTAAGTATATATAAACTGAGTGACTGTTGCTGCAGTTAAAGTTCATTAACCTTATTTGATGCAGTCTTACCCTTTTCATTGCATGATTCCTGAAACAGATGTGTTTTCATGGACATTATTATTTACTTCAAGAAGAAGTTAGTAAAAGAGAAATATGAAGAACAGATATTTTGAAGACAAGTAATCAGTGGATTAGGGACTAATCCTACTAGAGAACTTGGAATTTTGGACTGAATTTTAACACCAACATCATCCATTATCTTGATAAATCATGTAGATCTCTTAAGTTACTTAAGGACTTGGCTTAATTGCAAAGTCTGTGAAGGGCATTCAAGATCCCATACTACTGTAGTTCCTATACCTGAATTTCCCCTCAATGAAGTAAGGAATAAATAAAGTACTCCACACCAGTGATGCATGAATAGGAGCCTTAAAATTATGATGTTTAAACATCATATGATTGTCCTAACATGCTTCCAGGTCACTCTTTTACAAAACCCCTTTAGTTGTTGAAATGTGTTATTTCTTGGAAGAAAGAAAATTGTATGTATTACTTTTTTCCTGGTCTACAAAAACATTCTAAATTAGCAATATGCTTTGATTTAAAAAGTAAATACACCACATGCACATTATGCTAACCAACTCCACCAGCAACTTTACACACACACCTAAGTACAATCACAGACTTTTAGGACATGCTTTTTGCATGTGTGAGACATACATTCCTTTTCATCTCTTAGAACAACCTTAGAAATTTTGGAATTCAATCAGGTTACTGACATCCTGAATAGGAAACACGGGTACTAGGAAAGTAACATGTTTTAAGAGTGTCACCTACTGGCAAAATATACTTCTGCACAATTTCTTGAGTATATAGAAAATGCAGTTATTTTACCCAGTGCAGTAAGCTCAGGTTCATGATGCTATACAATGTGTAATTGTTCATGAAGAACAACGATCAAAATTAAAATTAGCTTTTGTAAATCAGAGAAAAAAAAAGGAAAATTATTTCCAGAAAGTATTTTTTTTCTTCCAGAACAGTATTAGATACAGTTGCAATAAAACCACAAAGAACATCACTAAAAAGATCATTAAAAAAGAGCTAAGTTTAATAGTAGAGGAAGACGAGGAAAATGGAACAAAACAAATAACTCTTCATCCATCCAGTGAATCCAGTTCACTAGAATTTCAAACCATACAGCTTCCCTTTAAAGGACTTATTTTTGAAATTACCATTTACATGAGAAACTTCACACCAAGCTCTACACTCAAGCAAATTTGTTACCTTTCTGAACAGCCATCCTCCTGAAAAGAATACTAAAAATTTACCTACCATTATTTTTCAAAAAGGCTAGGAAATAAAGCAGAAAGCTTAAAAATATATAATGGGAACACCACCTGCAAATAATCAACCAAGGACTTGTCTCTGCTCAGAGCTCATGTACCTCCTTCATCTTCCCTTCTGAGCTAGGGCAATGCTCCAGGCTTGGGGAAGAGTGGCTGGAAAGCTGCCCTGGGCAAAAGGGCATTGAGGTGCTGGAGTACGTCCAGAAAATGGCAACAGACCTAAGAATGGTCTGGAGCACAAGTCTGACATGGAGCTGTTGAGGAGGCTGGGGTTAGCCTGAGAAAGGGAGGCTCAGGGTGACCCCATCGATCTCTACAACTGCCCAACAGCAGCAGATGGGGACCGGGTGATTCTCCCAGGCAGGATGAGAGGAAATGGCTTCGAACTGTGCCATGGGAGGTGCAGGCTGGAAATCAGGAGTAACTTCTTCTCTAAAAGGGTTCATAAATTGGAATGGGCCACCCAGGGATGTGGTAAGGTCATCATCTCTGGAGATGTTCAAGACACAGATGTATGTGGTACTTAGGGCCACGGTCCAGCTGACAAGGTGGTATTTGATTTAAGGTTGGACTTGATTTTGCAGGTCTTTTCCAACCTAAATGATTCTGTGATTCTGTGTAATACTGAGATACAGGGCTACTTGATAATTGAAGTTTTTATTTGCAGCAAAAAAGTTCAAATTTCCATAGATGCAGTCAACAAAGAGAAACAAAAGAGACTAAAATATTTTCTAAGCACTTTAGATGAAACTATCAGCTTTAGTAGTACAGTTCTGAGTACTTGAATGCTTAGCAAATTAAGAAGCAACATAAGTAGTTGTATGTTTTATGATGCCCCTCAGTTCCCCTGCCAAACTACGTGTCAAGTTCTGTCTCTTTTTTAAAAAATAAAAGGAAATGTAACTACTGCCTCACCAGTACCCTTCTTTTCCCTCTTCTGTTTTCAAAGGAGAGGAAACCAAAAGAAAAGTACACTACTTCAGTCCTAAGTTAGTGCACAGTTGCATCACAAGATATTATCAGTGCTGATATACTCCAATTAACTTTCTTAGATAAATGAAACATAATGAAACATCTACAGATAATGAAACATCTTAGATAATGAAACATCTACATCAGCTCGATAGTCCAAAAGCTTCAGTAATCTGCTTCTCTTCCAACTGTTTTTATTGATTGTATAGGATATCTAAACAGCTTTCAGCACAAGATGGACTCTGCTAAGGCAGATTATTTAGCAGCTGTAATTATTGGTAGTGCAAATCTCCCACTTGGAATGATTTACATCTGTTTCTTGTCCAGAACTGAGGTGTCAAAGATCAGATTAAGATGCTGAAATATGACTGTCAATAACCAATTTCAGAACCTTAATGCAGCTCAGAAAAATAGAATATCCATTATACATACTGCAATGATAACACTTCCATCGTAAACAAAGTATTAATCTTCTATGACACATTCACTTCATTTTCTTAACTTCATGTCCACACAATTTTCTCTTTAACATATCTACCTTACTTACCCTTGAATCTAAACTGCAAATCACCCAGTTAAATGCCATTAAATAAAACTGACAGTCAAAAAGCTCTAGAAATAAGGATGCCCCAGAATCAGTCTGTTCTTACAATCTAAAAGTTTACAGTAAGCTTTCAACACCTTACACATTTTAAAACATACTGCTATTATGAAATTGACCCCTGCAGTGAAAGAGTAATTTTTGCACATAGCCAAGGGGAAAGGAAGAGACCTTTAACTATGGCAAGGCCACAAAGTTGATGCCAAAAGCAAAGTTTACCTTCACTCACCTGAGGACCCCTCCCAACACCACCAAATTCTAGCAGGAAGTCTCACCTGAAACACTGAAGGTCTTTAATTTACCTTTGAAAGTTCAGACTAGATTATCCTTCCTATGCAAATAAGCAACTTTGACAAACTGAGCAACTGTTCTAAGAACCCTCTTATTTGCACATTTCAGACTAAACAGACATGAAAAAAGTATGTTTTACTTGCAAATGCCAACAAAATTCTTTTGAAGGAAATTCATACAGAAACAGTAGGTCATTGTGAGCAAACCACCTAATTCGTCACTAGAACAAATGTTTACATCTCACACCAAGATACTGCTTTATATCTCATATTTATTTCTGTTCTTTTTCATTTTCTTAAAAACCTTCTTTCCCTGATCACTTTTAAGTTTTACTACATTAATAACGGGGCAAAATCCACTCTAAAATCCCATCATCAGCATACAATGCAGAGAGCACTGCCATATCTGGGACATTGACATTTCTGTCAAAAAGAGGACTATAAGATGCATGGGGAGGACAGGTGTAGTGGTTATTTATATTATATATATATATATAAAGGAAATATAAGAATTTTTCAACCCATCTCCATTTAATTCTTATCTTGTCATAGAAATTTTTATTTTGGTAATAGCTTGTGCTACACCTTTCAGCTCCCTTTTATATTTTATTCCCTACTAAAGACAACTTAAGCATTATTGTCTACTCCCAGCATGAGTTTACACAAAAGGAAACCATTAGAAAAATTACAAAAATAAAGCTAAGGCAATTCACAGAAGCAAATAGGCAATGGCAAGAGACTATCAAAAGAAAATACCCTTTTAAACAATACAGAGTAAGGACAACAGATCCCACCTCATGTCCGACCATGTAAAAATATAGATAGATTTTAGCTAACACAGAGGTAACTCCCTTTTTAAGGAAGATGTATGTTCACAAAATACATGCAGGGAAAAAAACAGTACTTACAACTGGGTTTTTTGTGTCTGGGTCAAATTCTGTAGAATTTGCATCTGGAAGAGAAGTTCAAAGTAAACACAGTACATTTGCTCTACATGCATTACAAATGCATGACAGCTCTGTGGCATTTCAGGGCTTGTCTACATTTATGTTACAATCTCATGAGTTGAAACGCAACCTGCACCACTTTTGAAGCAATCACAGAAAGCATGTGACCTCATACACATAAGTTCCCTTTCTTGCTTTCCAAAACACTTTCCTCTCAGCTCTTAGCATTAGAAATTCATTGATAAGTTAAATCTCTTCATACTACTACTGAACGGCTCTTGTTTGGCCACTCTGGCTAATGAAGGCAAGTGAGAAAACCACTTCTCAGTTTTTACTTCTTACCACCAGCACACTTCAGAAGGAGACTACAGAGGTGAACTCTAAGCACACTTTCTTTTACACTCTTTAGATCAAAAAGCAGGTTTCAAACAATCCACATAAGAAAGAGTTCTTATTCCTTTGCACAGAGAGTTAGCATAAGGTACTTAGCTGAAAATGATCTTGCTGCAAGAGCTAAGTATCTAACAATCATAGGATCTGTAAACAGTTCTAATAATAACCATATATTTCATACAGAGAATAAAAATTCCTCCAAATGAATCATATTCACACTAACATACTGAGCTCACCTTCCCAATTCAAACAGTTTCTTGCAAATTCCACAACTGCTAACTGCATTCCCAGGCAAACTCCTAGAAGAGAAAACAAAAACTCCAGATTTTCCAAGCCAAAAAGTAGGACTGAATAACTACTTGCTGTTCTGTCTTAAATTTTACTACTTTGAAATCTTGGTATTCATTGCATATACACAGATTTACAAAAACCTTAACCAAAAGTGGTTGCTCAGTGTAAAACTCACACTTCAAACTTGGCACACTATAAATACATGTGAACCAATTATGTGCTTTAAGCCCTTTCAAAGATATTTTATTCCTCTCATCTATTTTACTAATAATTACTGCAAAGACAAACAGAAGCTGAAAGCCTGGGTATATCCAGATTCAAACTTTGCTGCTTTGGCAACTACTCAGACACTTAAAAGTAAGGAATGTGGAGTAGGAAGCAAAGCCTCAGAGGCATTTACACAAATAGCACTTAGCTTATAGGCCAGATGATGTCTTTGGACTTTACCGTAATAACATACACCAGTAAATAAAAAAAAAAATTAATATAGCAAAGTGGTCCAAAGACATCTATGTTTTCTGCATACTGTTTAATAAAGAGAATTATAGTGATATAATTACAATGAGTAGCAGACTCTCTCCATTTTTGTACATGCAAACTAAACCTTTGCAAAGGGATTGATTTTTTCCTTCCTCATATAGCAGATGTGGTACAAGACAATGCTCCAGGGGTACTTTATATGGCAGATAGTCACAACATCACACATACTTCCCTAAGACAGGATCCTTCTGTAATGTGGGGGTTTGGGGTTTTTGTTGGTTTTTTTTTTTTTATTTTCTTAATAAAATAAATTAGCTTGCTATACATCTCCTAAACACAGTAATTTCTCACTCTAATGATCTTACCAAGAAAAGGTTTTTTCTTTGTTCTTGCCCAGGAGATAGCTTGGAGTTTGCCTTCTGTTCCCCTAATTCCAAAACCTCCTGGGACCAGAATGCCACTGTAATAACAGCCATATATAAAAGAATTAACGTGTAGAGTCAAGCCAGCAGAGGAATCCACACAACTTGAAGACTCTTGAGGTTATAACTAAGCAAGCACAATTCATGAAAGGCATGTTTTATATGACCATTCAGAATACAAAGAAATTAAATTTGGAGATTTGTTTCATCTACCTACCCCAATTCTCATTTGACCAATATCACACTTCACAGTGATTCCCACTGCTTAAATAAATATTGCTCAAAGAAACTAGCTACATATTCACTGCTTAAAATCCCAACACCAAAAGTTCAGATCTTCTAATACCAAAAAAGCTAAATGCATATAGACAAGAAACAACATCCTTTTAAAAATACAAATTCAAATCCTAGCAATGATTCTTAACAGAGATATTTGCAGTGTGCATTTACAAGCACCTTTACCTATGCTGCATGTTGACAACAAAAAAACCTTTGACAACTGATCTGCACTGTAAAGGATATCCAAAAAAGCAAAACAATAATAAAACAATCAAAACTCTAAACCAACAACCAAAAAAACTGCAATTTTTCTAAAAAGATTAAGCAGACTTTGAGAATATACGCTGATACTTCAATTTGCTGAAGCTTTTCACCACCCATGCAATTTATACTTTCCCATAAGTAACAAAAATCTGGATGCATGGAGAAATTATTTGATTTACTGAAGCATTTTTCATCACGTGAAATAAATATCATGGTCTGCACTTGGGATACAGAATGCCCAATGTCACTTACTCTGCTTTGCACAGTTTGTGCCATGCCTGGTGATATTTCACTGAGTTCTCTGCTTCTGTAGAACGCTCGAGTTCTGTTGAATCTATGTACTAATAAAGAAAAACATGCAATGAAATGGTCTCTTCTTCCACAGAAAAAGCAACAGACAGTATAAAGAAAAACAGGCAATGAAATGGTCTCTTCTTCCACAGAAAGAGCAACAGACAGTATATGGTCAAGTGCTAAGAGAAATTATTAAGATTTTCAAGTGCATTTGCCAATAAACCTCTAACAACTTCACTGAAGATTTTTCACTAAATGCAGTATTTGCTTTTAAAACCAAGTGTTTGCTCTAACTGCAGCAATCTGAGCCCTTTTCTTTGCACATAGCTTAGGAGCTGTGTCTGCCTATAGCCCTGTATGGCACCTTCCAGGTAAGTAGATTAACTAGAATGCTTTGTAACTCTGAAACCAGGTTACCTTCCTAGGGCACCCAGGGTCAAAACAGGGTCAAACAAGGAGTGGTGCGGATTACATTCCTGGATTTTGGGTGCCACAGCCGGTCCAATCTTATTATAAGACTGGAAAAATCTGCAGTCTGTTAGAAAGGTGTTCCTGGGTACTCTTGGGTAGAAAGGGAGAAAGAATCATTATCTATGATAATGATTCTTTCTGGAAATACTCCTGGAAATACTGCATTAGAATCTCTAGAGTTATTAAAAATCACAGATCCTGATGCACCAATAGAGTGAAATGAGGGGATAATGGACAGCACTGTGGACATAAAAGATCAGAGATTGATTCTGGGTTTTGTTAATCTGTTTTTCTCAGATTAACATTTTGTTAATCTGAGAAAATGTTTTTATCAGATTAACATTTTATTAATGTTTTTCTCATATTAACATAATTAACCATATTCTCATGTAGAGTCCATCCTCCGTAAAAATGAGATCATCTGAAATGACAGAACTCATCTGTGTGCAGAGAAAGGCAACTGGCAAGGTGATTGCTGAAAGTTTCCCAGACAAGACTGCTTTCTAGCAAATATTTTCTACTTTTTCCACATTCCAGATGGCATCAATAATACAACAGGAAAATAACTACTTTTGAATGTTGCTATTCTATACTAGAAGAATATTACACAACCAACTAAGAAGACACTATGACACTGCGAGGTTGGAAAGAGAAACTAATGAGTTGGAGTTAACAAGTATTTTCCTTGCCAAACATATTAAGAAGGAACATTTATCAGTTAAAGAAGCATCAACATTTCATCACTCAGATTAAGCAGTTCCTTCAGAGCATGGGATTATACTGACAGCCTTTGGGCATAAACGCTAAAAGGAGGTTTGGACATGAGTTAAGCACAGTGGGAGCTGTGTCTGTTAACATTTCAGCACTGCACTGGAGCTCAGCAACCACCAGTTTTCATGCTGATTAATGCAGAAGCCCCACCAAAATTAAGGCCAGCTGCACATGAAGCTTGTTGTGGATTTTCAGACAGGACACCTTTCACATTCTGCTAAAAGCAAGGCTATTTTTCATATCATAAAAGTTTCCTACTCTGCAGCTGTTGGTACGAAACACTACAGTGACACAATCATGTAGGTCAGAAAGGACATTGGGAAGTCTCAAGACTCGCTCCCTGCTCAAAGCAAGTCAAATTAGAGCAGGCTGCTTAGGATCATTTCCAGTCAGGATCTAAAAATCTCCAGGGATCAATTCTGGCTGTTCCCACTTTCTTGTTTCTTCATGCACACCGAAACAACATTTTAGAGTATTAGCTAATACTCTTCCCAGGGAACAAGAAAAGGCTGACCACCTGTCATTTACCCAATTTACCTAAGTTTGGTCTTATCTTTTTTTTTTAAGACTGGTACATTTGCTCTTTTCTAATCATAAAATAATTAGGTTGGAAAGGATGTCTAAGATCATTGAATGCAACTGTTAATCCAGGACTGCCAAGTCCACCATAAAACTATGTGTCATGAAAACAAGTGAAATCTATGATAATAAATACAAATTTGCAGATAAAGTGTGCTTTTTCATCAGATCCAGTTTTGGGAAATTTCAGTGTTCCTTTCAGGTGAGTTTAGTTCCAAATAAAATAATTAAATCTGAAAACATTTATTTTAAAAAATGAGATGCTTGGCCAGTCTGTATTTATCTGCCTGATTTGTTTTCTAGTTTTCACATGAATTAAAACTGCCACACATGATGGGAACTAGTAGGTTGCCACAGATTGATACAATAGTAGAATCAAAGTATTCCCGAAAGCAAAAGCCAGAAATATGCTCACCATTAAATCCAGTTTGTAATTAATTGCTAGTGCAGAGTGTTCCAGAGCTTTGAAAACAGATGCATAGCAGTCACTTAGCTTGGTGTACTTGCCCACGAGAGCTATTGAACACACCTTCAGCAACCTTTCATATCTGACAAAAACAAGTTCTTCAGTTACTACACCAAATTTCACCAAAAAAAGAAAAAAATATTTTTAACAGTATTTGCTTTTTCTTTAACTCCACAAAATACCTCCTAAAATTTCCTAACTGCCAGTGTTTTTAAACCCAGACCATTCACAAGTGTCAACCAGCACTACACCCAGTCAGTCCAGTTTGGTGACTTCATAGCAGCTAAAACCTAACTTGAATTACAGCACTTCTAGAGAAAGCAGCAGAACATAGAATACCTGCAAGCCATTTTCTTCCACTTCATTAGAAGATCACTTGGCTGGTCATCAATAGGCAAATTTAGCCTCTGTTTAAAATACTTAATTATGCCTTGCTCTTCCAATAGGATAGGTACTCGGTAAGTAGAAGAAACATCATGAATAAATATCACCTAACAAAAAAGGCAGAACATAAAAACCTTAGGTACATTTTTCATAGGAAACATTCATTCTACTTTTTGATACTACATTTTTTTATTCTACACACATTCTGGTTTTTAAATACCTTCCTTTTGAATGAGTAGGACAGCACAGCTAATATTTAAAGTTCTGTTAAATCTACAAGGAAAAAGTTACTCAAAAAGTAAAAATGTGTTTTACTTCTCCTTCACACCATCATATAGACTCGTCAAGCCTATCAATGCATCAGTTTTAATGCAAACATCTGGCCCCACAAGCACTCATGCTTGCTACCACTTCCTTCCTCCCCTCTCACAAACCTGAGGAATATTAAGCATGGAAGCAAGAAAACAAATGAAACCTAACAAAACAGACCAAATTTGGTTGTGACAAAGTCTCCTAAATGTATTTTGTTAGTGATCTAAACTATGTAATTACTGAGTACAGTCTATTTAAGGACCTTTTTGTTCAGAACACATTTATAAACTGCATCCAAGCTGCCAGCAATTAAGGTGATTGTGCTTGGTTTACCTGAGATCACAGAGCTCAGAATCCTGAGCACAAGTGTTCTCAAGACATGAACAGAAAAGGATACTCTCTTGGCTACCCTTGAGCTGCTTCTGTTCATCACAAACTGTACATGTGTGTGCTGCCCCATGCCTCTCTACGTGCCCATTCAATTTTAATCTCTTGAACCTTCAGCATTATCCATTACATTGAAAAGTAAAATGCTCTCACTTGCAAAAATATTTAAAGAGAAATCAATTAATCAAAAGTAATATCTGAATACCAATTAATTGCAAACTATTAGGGGAAAAATTACACATGAATTACAGAAGAATATATAACCACACAGTAGATGCCTGGTTAAGGGCATAAATAGTCTATTACATATAATCACAGTAAGTGTTCATGCGGCTGTGACCATGTGGACATAAGCAAATCACCTAGCTTTAACCACACTTTGCTCATCCATTATTATAATCACCTGAGATGATTTATGGGCAATAAATACATAACAACAAATAATGAATAAAACCAGCCATAGCTGTGAAAACTGTAGAGTGTCATGCTATGAATAACAACTAACCAGGTACTTAAAATCTATTTTTTATTAGCTTTTACACAACATGCATTTAAATTACTAATGACTGTTTGACATAAAACTTAACATTTATACTCCTGATATTTTGAAAATGCTATAGCATCCATAATAACAAGATAAAAATTATAAAGACAATCACATATGAATGAAGCAGTCAGAAGTTGAAAACAGAAATGCAAAGAAATATTTGTATACTTTCCCACATGTAACATTGAAGTACAGACCTGCTCAGGCTCCACATGACAAAACATGGAAATCTTCTCCTTCACAGCCATTTCTATAGGTTTTGCACTTCTGCAGACTATCTGTCATAACAGAAGGAAAAACTTCAAATATTTACTAGGTAAACCAATAGAAGATCCTCAATATTTCGTAGTGAAATTCATCTCCTTTGGAAGCAGAGCACAAACAAATGTGCCTTTTTTCACTCTTTCCCCCCTGTTGGAGTTCTACGATATATCAGAGCTCACAAGTATCTACTAGGAAAGCAGAAGCAAATCCATCATCTGCCCATATGGACCGATTTTCATTCATCTTTCATTGGTATTCTCTGTAATATTCCTTCCTCATATTCTTCTTTCTGGCAGCTACTATTGTAATACTCTTTGCCTCAAATCTAGCATCTCTACAAGTATGAATATGATGAATCAAAGGAAATATTGTAATCTTACCAATAAGATCAGATTTAAATTAAGAGCAATAATACTTATCTTACATGCATGAGTATTTCGGTATTTCAGCATCTTCTTAATTTAGACATCATGACAAAAACAAGGCCAAACAAGAAAAAACTAATTCATAATTGTATGGAGTTTTTACTGGTGCTAGTATTTTGCTGATACATTTAAACCCCAGTAATTTCAGAAAATATTGATAATCTTTAACTGATGAAAAAAATAATTATATGCTTTGGTGTTTGTTGGAAGGGTCTTTTTCTGCAGTATGTAACTCCAGGCAACTAGATCAAAATGCAAAACTGCTCTAGTAAAGTGCCTACTAATTACTCAGTCTACTCCCTTAAGTTATTTTGAAACCTGAAAGTGTAACAAAAGTAGGATGATCCTGTTACAAGACTAGTTTGTTACTTTCCCCGTCTTTCTAGCAAATACAACTACTTAATTCATCAAGCCCTTTTGCTCAGAAACTTCCAGCTGCCCTTTGATCACCTTGCTAATGCAGCTTAGCTACACTGATTCTGATGGAGTCTAATTAACTTACCCTAACCTTAGAAGTAATTCTAGAAACAGGAAAAAAAAATATCAAGTATAAGGGGAAGTTATTGTGCTTTTAAATCAAAATGTAATCAGGAAACGGTTTGTACATTCTATTCACTTAAGCACAATTCATATGTAAAATTTGGCACAGTTTGAAGCTGAAGTTATAATTCATAAACCTTGATAGGATGAGCACATGAGTAAACCCACTTTGAAATCTGCTGTCTGTCTTGTGGAGACAAATTTAAAGTTAATGCAGACACAGAAATCAAAAACATCAGAACCAGCACAAAAATAACACAAATACAATAAAAATGGGAGAGATGCACCGCAAAGGCACATAACACACAGAAAATGAGGAATAATTGAATTCAACAGGGCAGCTCTGACAAGTGCATACTGAAAGGATCTCTGCACCCACAGCACAGCACAGCACACCCTGGGGAGAACAGAGAGGCTCGGGCACACAGAGCTGAGTTACCCCAGGGATGCCCGGGAGCAGGCAGGGCAGCAGCAGGGATTCAGAATTGGATGAAATGGTCTCAGCTGTAGGAGCTGCCCCATGTGCTGCCCTGACAGCAACCATTTAAATGTTGTCCTGAAGCAGCACTCAAGGAGCTTTATAAGTGCACCAAGAGGCTGCACCTCAAGTGAGATCTGTCCCTGCTTCAGGTGTCAACAGCAGCAGTCAAAAAACCAAAAATGATACTGTGCTCCTGGCAGTCCCAGAACTGCCCCAGGCAAGAACCCAAGATGCAAGACAGTCACTGTGTTTGTCTGCTCTCCATTTATTACACACACACACTTAGCAGGCTTTTTAAAGAAAATTATTTTTTGGAGTGGAGGGAGAAGTCAGGCCCTGGCACTTGCCTTAAAGGCCTTCAAAACAAACAGGCAACTTTCCCACTTCAAGAGGGATTTTGGAGATTAGGCCCTGAAACTTGGAACACAGTACAGCATTACATTAATAAAAGTCTTTCCTTCCAAAAGCTGGTTACAATTATCATGTCACAGCCATTTAACACCAAACACATCTTTCACATACCCTATTTCCAAATCCATTGCTTTTGTAGTTAAAAACATTCATTCATAAAAGCAAAATGAAAGAGCTCAAAAAAAAACTTCAGAAAGAAGCACAACACAAAATTTAGTTGTGGGACTATCTTAAGAGTAATTTTTATTTTTTGAAGATATATACATTGCTTCTTCTTAATAATGCATTAAAAAATCTGGATGTTACAAGACAGTAACATTCTCGGTCTTTCTACAAAGTGAGTTGAGATTTCAATTCTTTTTAGCAGTGAAGAATTATTTTTGCAAAAAAGATGCCTTTAGAAGAACCTAGCTACAGTCCCAAGATTGCAAGAAGTTAGTTGAATTAAGTTAACTTAGAGTGATTTTCACTAATTTGATTTCTGTGGCTTTAATGGAGCTTTGCAGCACATATTTTGCATTTCTTCTAAAACTCTCATGTCTCTTGAGAGACTATGGCTTATTCTTTGAACACAAGTTATGCAAGGATATTTCTAGATGACCTATAAATAAAAATCTGTATTTATTGACTCACCAAATCTGGAGACAAGCCTAGACCCCTCAGTGCTCGAACACTGTTCTGTGTTGGTTTTGTCTTCTGTTCACCAGTAGCATTAGGCTGAAAAGGCACATTTTGAAAGCTCAAAAAGCAACTAACATCTGCTAACAAAGCAGTTGCAGATTAAAAGACAAAATTCATTGCAAATAATAATATTTACAGGAAATAAACATATCCAAAGAGAGCCATAATATGCCAATAATATTTACAGGAAATAAACACATCCAAAGAGAGCCATAATATGTCAGAAACAGAAATGACCCACTGTTTTTACTTGCATATGAAATACTGAATTCCAATTCAAGTCAAGTTTACTTTGTTGTTTTTGTTTTCAGAGAAAAAAAAATCCATATAATTGGCTCAGACAGAAGAAGAATATTCCAAAACTTGGATTTGGCTAAAAAATTGAGAATGTCTAAGACAGCACAAAGCCTTCAGTGTCTGTTCTTGAAATATTCAGATGTAGTAAATAATTCTGTTCTCAAATACACAGAATTTACCCTACCAATTGCTGTTTAATCCTCTAATCCACAGCTGTGGTTAGTAATTATCTTTTTGTCTGTAGGAGGTGAAATATATCATCATTACAAACCTTTGTTTACCAAAATATCCCCAGTGAGTAGTGAAGTAATATTTAGAGTTCAAATGAAAAAATACTTTTAGTATTGTACAAGGAGTTACAGTGGTCTTTACTTGACTCCAGCATGAAATGGTCAATAAGACAAATAAACAAATCTGAAGCCAACTATATAGAGTAAAATTTATTTTATTAATTCCAGTAACTTACCTGTGGTACTAGGCTAACATGGATATTACAGAAGTTCTCTCTTTTTGCTTTGAACTGAAACTGTCTAAATGCTTCAACAAATGGCATTCCTTCAATATCTCCAATGGTTCCACCCAGCTGAAAAGGAAATGGATATGTCAGTGGCAGAAAGCCAAAACAAAAGGAAAAAAAAAGTCTCATATATTTCAAGATATTTTCTGAAACTTTTATCTAAAAAAAACCCCGACAATTGAAATTCGCAAAGATACTCTACAAAGTGCTTTCATCTACTCTGCACGGTTTGTTTCTTGTGGAAAACATTATAAACAATTTTCAGGTTTTGTTATGTTCACTTTCCACCAAATACATAAGCTTCCCATGGGAAGATGGGTGGTGCTGCTCAATAATACATGCTTCACACTGCCTTCAAAGTGGTGAACCAGTAATCAATAGCTAAGCTGATGCACAGGTTTTTATATAGGAAAACTTTATTTCCTGTCAGATTAAAAAATATTTGTTACTGACTAGAGACAGACATTTCTCAGTATTATCACGGCTTTCCAACATCAATAATTGTTTATTACCAAACCAAAATGCAATACAAAATACATGCTGAAATTTATTTATAACAGAAATCAGATGCCTTTCAGACACAGTGAGCTATAGCAGACTAAGCACTGAATAAAGCAGCTTTGCAAACAAGTCTGATGAAATAGTTGTGTTTCAGAATGATCTTTTTGTGCCACCAAGTGGTTTTCAACAGAATTACATATTTCTGTTGATCCAGGACCAGAAAAACTGACAACTACATTTGTAAATCACACACATTTAGTCTAACTCCTTCAGGATTTTACAATGGAAAAATGTTACAATTATTTTTAGAGTACTAAAGAAAAATAATTTTATCAGGCTGGAGGTTTAAATGTAACAAAATACCAAAAAATCCCTAAAAACCCCAAAACAAACAAAAAAAAGTGAAAAAACGTAGTTAAAGGACTGATATGACCATCACTTATTAATGTTTTTGTGCAACTTTTGTATTTAATTTTTCATATTTTTTTAAATTAAATATTTGACTCCCACTGTGAATATCATAAAAAGATCTATAGGTATATTGGTAAGTGTATTTCAATCAAGGCAGATTCTTCTACATAAGAAATACTGAGTAATTCTGTTGCTGGGTCACAAAGCTGATGGTACTATTGATTGCAGTAGTCATTTCTGGCATTAAAACTGTGACATCTGTCAAATTCTCAACTATAATCTTTTTTCATTATTTACTGGTGTAGTAGTAGTACAAGCAATTACTGGCTTTCATCCAGCTGCCTCAGTGCCCTACTAAGGGTGGGTAAAACTCCTTGTTTCCATTGTGCAGAACATCAGCAGGTTAAGTAATTAACAAAGTTGCCACCAAGATCTCAAGGAGACATCAGAAAGTGGGAAACTAACTTACACATTGTTTAAATATATTCTCCTAAGCATGACCACAAGCAACAAGATGAATATTTGAAGTTCTATGGAAGCTGGAATGTTAAAGCTCTCCTACAGATCACAGGAGATTTCAGGTATTACACAAGTTTTCTCAATACTATTAACAGATAAAGCTTCAGTCAAACATCTGGATCTTGAAATAGACAGTTCACATTACACTAACTGCTTTAATACTCTAAGTTAATGAACTCTAAAGATGCTCAATTTCAGATGTATTTTAGAGTGGATTTAGTCAAGTTAATGGAAGCTGTAGAGAATCAAGACCAAGCATATCCCTTTAGGAACAAATTAAAGAATATAGAATGTGGTTTTGAATTTCTGTTCTCCAATAAAACTTCAGTCTGACCTTTTTACAGTAAGGAGCAAAGAGAAAGCAAATGAGCTCATTGTGTTCACTGTAGATACCTAAAAGGTATATATATTCACTGTAGATACCTAAAAGGATACCTAAAAGGTTCCATACTTACCTCAATTACACAGATTTGTGGCTCTTTTTTGTCATCATCCACAGGAACTTTTGCCTGATTCATTACCCATTCCTGAACTGCATCAGTAATGTGTGGAACAACTACAAAACAAAACCAAAGAAGGCAAGCACAGTTTACTTTAGGTCCATACACTCATTTTTGAATGCAAAAGAGGTAAAGTGAACAGAAAGCCAAGAAGAAACTACTGAGTCCTTTCTGTAGTTCTCCTATCCTTGAGCCCAGGAATATGCCCTACCTTTTTGGAAGGGAGAAAGGAGTAAGGTGATGGAGCAAGAAGCAGCCTGTTCTAGCTGATCCCTTCTTTTGTGAAGACTGAATGGACTAGCATCCCACAAAATTAAAAATATTACCTTGAACGGTTTTTCCCAGATAATCACCATGTCTTTCTTTATTAATGACATGCTGATATATCTTTCCAGTCGTGATATTGTTATCTTTATAGAGACTGATGTCCAAAAATCTCTCATAATTTCCCAAATCTAAGTCAACTTCTCCACCATCATTTAATACAAAAACTTCACCTGAAAAAAGAAAGCAAAACAGACAGAAAAACAACAAAATAATCAGAAATTATTAAGCATACAGCAGGAATACCACAGACATCTTAAAATAGAAGAAAGAAAATTAAATTATATATGACAACGACATAACAGTAAAGTCCATACTGCAACTCAATTTGAACAGCCATTCTGTACGACTTAATATCTAAGTCAGTTTTACATCTAATATCCATCTCTCAGATACATATAGTTTTGCAAATAAAATGTAAGTTACGTTGCCAAAATATTGAAGCAACATAAATATTTAACTAGCATTTCAACAGCAGAATAATCCTTCACTGAAAGAAAACAACCTCTAGGAATTGTAAATCAGCAACAAATAAAATATTAATTTACTTGCAGGAGAGAACAACCATGCTTTCATAAGCATGAATTATTATACATGTTCAAAGTGTTTCATATAAATTCTTGTTGATTGGATCTAGTTTAATGATTGAGGCTTCAATCAGGAGTAAAGTTATGAAGAACAAAACTGCTTCTTCAAACGTAATCACCATTTCTGAGTCTGTTGTTTCAGTGTATTTGGTTCACCATGTCCACAGCAAGGGTTATTTCTGACCCTGAAAAATCCACTTAAAATACCCTTCCGGTTCACACTTTTCTCAGCCTTCTAAAGGGTCTCTAAATTCTGAATCTAGTCAATTTCTGACAGAACTCAAGTTACTAGATCTTGAGGTAAGCCTGGAAAGCTCTTCAGAAAAACTGTAAATGTTTTGTCATGACCCAATAAATCAATGGCAAAACAAGTTACATTACTAATGCAGAAAAAAAAAAATGTGGAGAACAGAAATGTATATCCCACCAAAGCACAACACTCCAATTCAATAAATTTAGGTTCTCTAAGCTTCACTGATGTTTTTTGCTAGATTTTTTTACTAAAACGAGAATTTAAGGCAACTCTAATGAAGGCACTTATATCAGAAGGCACTGATACCCACAGAACAGCATTCTCAAGTAACTCTTAAGGACTTAAAATTACAATTAAGTTTCATAGCACTATTTAAAAGGGGGTTTTAATCAAGTTGAACTGAAGACAGCATTAACTGAACAAGTCTTACAGCTAGGATTTTCCTAGTAAAGTAGTATTTTATAGAAAGGAAGCATCTGCTCATAACAGTATCTTCAAAAAAACAGGCTTCTGTTTCTTAACTTAGAGCAGACAGTGTCCTTGAGAACACAGAGTAAGCAATAAACTTTTAAAATAATTATAAAACAGGTTGTAAACACCATACTATTGGTTAAAAAAAAAAAAAACACATTCTTATAAATACAAATGTTCATGTGTAAGGGAATAACACTTATCTTCATACCATGTTCATATGGTGAAAAGGTTCCAGCATCTATGTTTATGTAAGGATCAATTTTGATTGCAGTGACACGCAGACCACAAGATTTCAGAATGGTGCCAATGCTGCTTGCAATGATCCCTTTGCCAATGCCCGAAATGACACCACCAGTTACCAGGATGTACTTCATTGGAAAATCAGCACACATGCACACAACTTGAGCTGGAAATCTAAAACAACAAAGATGCACATCTGATGAATGTAAATTCATGTCTGGGAAGATCACACACTCAATCTGCAAAGATCTAAATGGAAATGACCTTTAGCAACATACAATAAAAATGACCATTCTGGAATCTGGGAGCAGGACTCATCTCTCCCAGGTTATACACCAATATGAAAGATAAACACCTGTCTTGTCCCTATCCTAGGTCCTGATGAGGCTGATCAACACACAGAGCTGAGGTATTAATTTACAGTTCTAGACAGAAACGGTGCTGAGTGGCAAATCCATAAAAGGACTTCAAAAACTTTTTACTATTTATACACTTTAGCAAACAAAGGCACCAGTGTTGATCAGCTACAAGCTGCATTTTTCCACCCATCTGAAGCAGGATGACACATATCTCATCTGTAAATGAATTCACATTCCATTCAGCTGGCTGTGGAGTCTAATCACTGAACAATTTCTGAAGAGTGACAGCATGGCTCACCATAAAGCAAGAACTCTAGGGCCAAGAAAGCCTTTCCTTATTTAAATACCCAATTCACCCAAAACAATGCACAACAGCACTTAGCTCTAATGGCCCTCAGTATAAATCAAAGCAGTTCAGCCACTGGTATGAAGCAGTAGATACCCAATGAACATTTTAATTCTTTTTATTATACTAAAGTAACATAAATAATGCCTAGATCTTCAGGAGACTGAGTTCAGAAATGGAATAAGGCATGCTATCAATGCTCATACATTTCTGGTAATAGGAATAAACTATTTGCTTGTCAATATGATCAAAAAGATGACCATAACCATTAAATGCATTTAATTCAGAAGAAAAAGGAACACCAGGGATTAACTTTTCCCTGCGCTTTAATTTTAATATGTAATTCTTTTAATAGCAAAGATTTTAAGACTAGGACCCTACTCCCTCTGTTTCAGGCTATTCCTTCAGAACTCAGCCAACTTAGCTGTCAACACTAACACCATAAACATCTAAGCCATTTTCAAAGCTCTTTTCAGGAAAACAAGAGGGATAATTTCAACAACGGTATAAATCTTGAGTACATGCCATTTTAGAACTCTTAAATCTTGCTTACAGAAACGAAAATGAAAAGTTTGCTGTGATTTTAGCAAAAACAGCGATATCCCAGCAGCTTCAGGAAACCTGTTTACTTGAAACAGGTACAGAGAACTGCAAGTTCTCTGCAAGTACAACTGCAAGTACAACTGCAAGTACAACTGCAAGTCACTTGTAAAAGATGAAGGAAATAGAGTTAGGGGAGGGAGCGCTGAAAGCGAATACTGGAAGAAATCTTTTTTCTGGGAAGTGGCACACGAATACTCCGTCCAGCCTTATCTACAGGAGTTGCCGCCTCCAGCAGGGATTTGCGGGCGCCGCACCCCAACCGCGCCGCGCCGCGGGAGCGCTCGGGGCGCTGCGGCCGAGCGGGGAGAGGCCTCTGACTTACGGAGGTGCTAAAGGCGGCTGCTCCCACCGGAGCCCGGCAGCGCCGAGCCCGAGCGCACCGCCGGCGGGCCGGGGGCGGCTCTGCCCGGGGGGACACAGCGCCTGCAGGTACCGCACCTCCGAGCGGGGGCCGGCGAGCAGGGCCACCCCCGCGGGGCGCACGGCGGCCAGCACCACCCCTCTGGGGCACCCCCGGCGCGGCAGGTGCCGCCGGCCCCGCTCCGCCCGGGCCCCGCTCCGCCCTTGGCGGCGGAAGTGGCGCACGCGGAAGCGGCGGCAGCGGCCGCCCGCGGTTCCGCAGCGGCGCCGGCCCGGCGCAGCGCGGCCGCCGCCCCGCAGCCATGTTGCGCGGCCTGGGCAGCTGGCTGGGGCTGCAGCGCGCCGGCGAGGAGGCGCTGCTGCCCGCCGGCCACGGCAGCGGCCCCGCGGAGCAGGAGCAGGAGCATGAGGAGGAGGAGGAGGCAGGGCCGGCCGGGCAGGAGCGGGGCGAGCTGCAGGGGGACTCGGAGGCGCTGCTCAGCCAGGCCAAGGGATTCGGCAGTGAGTGTGCCGCGGCTGCCGGCTTTCTAATATGAGCTAAGGAGTCAAGACTGCGAAGTGCCTTTCGTTGTCGCCTCTTTCAGAGCTATTTCTAAAGGAGCAGCGTTTCTTAAGTATCTGTTCTGTTGGCACTGTGGGAGGAGGTCTGTGTGTACAGAGAATAGATCTGTCTGCGTAGAATAATGTACTTCATGGATTGCACTGTGGGCGTTTGTGTTCTTTTCGTAGGAAAATAATGGCGCTTCCTGATTTTGTTGAACATGTCTGCAGTCTTAGAATCACAAAATGGTTTGGGTTAGAAAGGACCTTGAAGATAATATCATTCCAACCCCCCTGCCGTGCCTGCTGGACCAGGCTTAAAGCCCCATCCAGCCTGGCCCTGAACGCTGCCAGGGATGGGTGAAGCTGTAATTTGCTATAAGTAAAATTCCTGCATTGCTGTAGTGAGTTCTTGGATAAAATTAATCCATAGTATAGACCTATACTCATTACTAAAGTTTTTTTTAAGGAAAGGGGTTTGGGTTTTTTTTTTTTTTTTTATTGATGCTCTGAAATTCTGGATCAGTATGATTTAAGAGGTTAATCTGAGCTGGTTCTTTACTGTGCATTGTCTTGGGCAATCAGAACTGCAGCAGTTTAGTCTGTGTAGTGTGCTCAAATACCTGTCTAGTTGTGGTAAGTTGATACTAACCTGCTGCTGACTCTGACTGTTCTAATCTGCAAATTGTTCAGGAAGGGAAAAGGAATTTGAGTTTCAGGGGAAGAATAGGTATTGACTATTATCTATATAAAGATCCATTCCATAATTTGCTCTGTACATGAAAATTTGGTTTAGTGGTCAATGGGTCCATTGTCTGTGACACCAGAATAGATTATGGTGGAAATGCTTTCTTGCTGTTTTAACACATAATCCTAGAAACCTCTGCATGGCCAACAATCTGGGTAACTGAGTAAAAAGAATCTCCTGGCAGATAAAGAATTTTAGTGGTAAAGCAGAAGCCTTATAGACATTATCTTTGCTCATTATCATGCCATTATAGAAATTATGAGCATTTTGCCAGTGTGAACTAATAATAGAAGTATTGCTAGAGACATATTCTTAATATAGGCATACACTTGTAAGACAGAAGATGAGTTTTTTGGTCATTTGAAAGTGTTATTTTCCGCCACAAATTCTATTTTTCTGAGGCTAAGTACCACCTTTTCTGCAGTTTTATAAATAAAAAGTTTTTTGCTCTTCAGCACAGTTCCAGGACTGGCCAAAACCACTTTATGCAATAATGCCAGAATGTCACTAGACAGCAAATGCCTCTGCACATTTTGCATCTAAAACTGTTGCATACAGGAGAGGTTCCAGGGATACATGAAACAGCCAATAAAAGCTGGTGGGGAGTAAGCAGTCCAGTAGGTTGCTGTTTACTCTCATAAGAGGAATAATGTATATGTCTATGTCTAAAATATAGAACTTAACCTTTTTTTACTCCTGAATCATGTAGTGGGTTATAAAGCCTGATAATGGGTATAAAAGATGCTAGTAAGTACTTGAAGGATGTTTGGTTACCACCATTCTGTGACTTGTTCCAGATAAAAAAAGTTATACATAAAAAAATTGTCTTAAGCCTTGGCTAGACCTCTGCATATTTTGGTATTGATTTGTGATATCATTACAAGAGAACATTTTATCCAACCCAGAGAATAGTCAGCTTTCCAAGAGGTGACATCAGTGTTCCAAACTAACTCGTTCTACCACTGGCTAACAACCATGTGTTAATTCTTAATATTTTTTTTCATTATAAGATTATTGTTTACATTTCTAACCCATAGGGAAACAGGTTTTTTTGAGAGTTCTTGACAAGGAGGGTGGTCTTTTGTTTGAAACAGAAGTGCTGGGATTTGGTGGGGTTTTTTTGTGTTGGTTGATTTTTTTGACAACTCCTGTATAAAAGTCAAAGGTGATTCTACATGACTTTATGTATAAATATGTGACTTCTATTGAGCTGACTACCAAGCAGTACTCCCAGGTCCCTTTCTGCAGGGCTGCTCTCCAGACACTCCTCCCTCAATTTATACTCATTCCACATGCAGAATCCAGCATTTCTTCTTGTTAAATTTCATGCCATTGATGTTTGCCCAGATGTTCCAATCTATCTAGATCTCTCTGCAAGTATTTTATTTACCATGGCACTGACACAATGTATGTATTGGAACTGAGGTACTGCAGTGAAATGCAGTCATTCAGGTATATTAAGTGCTTCTGACATCATGCTATCTGAGAACTAGTACTGATGTTTTCAAATCACTTGTCTGTAAGCTGGTACTTGATGTTTCTGAAGGTTTATTACATACATCTTGCTTCTTGCAAGATGCTTCTTGCACATTTGTTCTCCTTATTTAAAATAGAATACGGTGCAGATGGCAATGCTATGTGTATGCAGTTCTTTCCCTGCCACCTCTCTTCACTTCAGCACTGTTAACAAAAAGAATGTGAATCTTCGAGAATATTCTTCATTGCTGTTCTGACACTTAATGTTTTCAGAAAATATGACTCAGAAAAATGAGTGAACAGGGCACAGTGCTTTTCTTTTCCTAAAGAGGGGAAGATAATGCAAAATAGATAGGGCAAACATCAAGAGCAAGCTTCTATGCTAAGACTTTTAAAGGAGGTGTTACCTGCCTGAAATTTTTAATGCATTTGCTGCCTCAGTTTATAAGACTTTATTATGCATGTTGATTTTCTTAAAAAAAAATTCTGTTTTAATACTGTAGCTAAGTTACTTTATGGCTTAATGTCTCCAAAACACTTATATGAAATAGGGAAAGACATTGCTTCAGAAAACTCATTGGAAAGAAGTATTTCAAGGACCATTAGCAATTTTTGATTTAGTAAACAAGGTTTGTGTATAAATATTTGGTTTGCAGAAAGTTGTAATCATCATCATTAAAGAATATAAACTAGAAAAGGATAAATATAATTTCAGGAGTTTTTTGTAGGCCACAAGCTGGGTTAAGTTATTTTGAAATAAACTTTTAAGTAGGTATCCAAACGTCTAAAGAGAAGGTAAAATAAATGTAGAAAGAGAACTGGATGTAAAGAAATCTATTCTCAGGTCTTTGTTTTTTTGTCTGTGAAAGGTTACCTCTTCAATTTTGCCTCTGCTGCTACAAAAAAGATATCTGAGTCTGTTGCTGAAACAGCACAGACAATAAAGAAGTCTGTAGAAGAAGGAAAAATTGACAGTATCATCGATAAGGTAATTTATTTCTAGACACTTGATCTGAAATATCTGTTTGCTTGCCATTGTTACAACATGTGGCAAATCCGGCATTTGATAACATTTCTTTAAACTGTCTTCAGATATGTCTTTCAAGAAACTGTGCATCTCTTGTCATGATGAATGACGTGACTGAAATGTTTATTCATGGTAGAGTTTCCAAAAAACAGTCACCCTGCTTTTCTCAGTGCTTCATCTGTGTTTGTTCAGTTCCCTCGGGATGCTGATAGACTGGAGAAATACCAGAAGGAAATTTGAAAAATGCCAATGTAGGTGGAAGGGTGAAAGAATTTGAGACAGGCAATTGGGGAATGTCTGTCCCAAGATGTGTGGACTGGTTTCTTTTTGCCCCATGGTTTATTTAGTTTGAAAAAGGAATGAGGTAGCTTGCATCTTATAGGCACCTCTGTGCAGAAGTCAGATTTAGCTTGGTATTGTACATATTGTATCCGAGGACCCTAGGGGTATACAGGTACAGTTCCCTAAGAACCAGTGAGTGAATGAAACACCTTGTTACTGTCCTGTTCTTTTCCCCACCCTGACCCTGCCCTGTAGTTCTTACCCTCTGTTCCTGTTTGTCAGCTCCAGTTGCTTAACTTGGGCCAGCAAGTGTTCTTCCAGTGCTTTAAGCCACAAACCTAGCAGAAGGAAAAGAAAAGAAGAAAAAAAAAAAAAAAAAAAAGGCAGCAATAAGTGCCAATAAGTGTTCTGTGGTTGCTCTTGAGAGGTCTGGGAAGGGAAAGGGAACTGGTTGAAACCTTTTCCTGCTCCGGTCTCAGACATCCCTTCTGGGGAACTGCAGCATTGCCTGCTTATTTTTTTAATACAACAGAATCCTACTTCTTGATATAATTAGTGTTCATGTTGTCTTCCATCAAATTAATTTCTGTTATCATCACATTTTACATTTTTACATTGTCTTCATATTTCATAGGCAGTTGTCTATATATAGAGATCTATTTCCTTCTACAGTAATATCAGAGTCTAATGTAATTTTGATATACATCAAAGGGGAACAATCAAGTAACAAGGTTATTTGTTAATTTAATACACTAATAATAATGCTTTTAAGAAACTGTAGCTAAGTACCTAAGCATATTTTATGCCAAAAATAAAATTTTCTTTCTTTCTGTAAATGTTTTAGAGTAATATGAATTCCCTGTTTCAATTAATCAGTATTACATACAGGAGAAACAAGATTATACCTGTATCATCATGAAGCTTTCTTCTTACACCATATAAATTGTTTTATTCCATAATTGGAAGAAATTAACATAATTTTAAACCAGAAGAAACCACAATAATCTTTTTGTATAACTGACACTACTATAGTTCTCTCACTGGTAGTAATCTTAATTTCAAATACTTGGTTGCTGAAGGAAAAAAAGTAAGAAATTTATCAGGATTTAGCTTGAAAACATCTGTGCATTTTGGCAACTTGTTAATCCATAGACCTCACTGTATAAAAGTTGTATTTTTGTGAGCGGTTTAAGTATTCATTTCTAGCGTCATCTTTTTTGCCTCTGCTTTCAAACAAAGAACATTTGCATTCTTAGTTCTAGATTATGGCATACCAAATTCTGAGACCATTCTCCATTTTTAAATTCTAAATTCAACATAGGATATTTCTAAATATGATTTTTAAAATGAAAATTTGTCAACAACAGAAGTGGAGAAGTTACTTTGTTTCAGCTAAGCACATGTTCTGAAATGCAACTTTACAATTTTGATAGTCCAGTTTCTTGCCATGGATATATTTCTTAGGCAACTCTTGAAACTTCTGTAAGGCCAAGAGTATCTCTAAGTGTTAGTGCTTTAAAAACATGTTTAAATAAATCTAAACAGTATGCATTGGCTGAATTTTATACAGTGAGACAGTAAGAGGATATGCATAGTATGCCAATTCAGACTATCAGCTAAGATTCTCCTTTTTTTCTGTGTCCCCTGAAATTGATAAATCTATAAATATAATTTTGAAAGCATACAGAATAGTTTTAAATGCAAAATCAAATGTTTCAGTAAAAGGAAGTGTATGACTGACATGAGACACCTTTAACTAACAGGAAGGGCCACCATGTATATAAGAATATGCACAGGATTTGAAAGCACCTTCTGACTGAATGTAAAACAAGAGGAGTGAATTTTATTTTTTTTTTTTTAAATTGTGGTTCCCTAATTTTTATTTTAGACAATTATTGGAGATTTTCAGAAGGAACAGAAGAAATTTGTTCAAGAGCAGCAAACTAAAAAATCAGGTAATGGATGCTTTTCATGATGATGTCTAACATCCCATAAGTGAAACCTTGCTGAAGGCTGGATAATTGAGCTCTATCTAAAACTAATCTATCAGAACACTATTTAATGAAATACATTAAGTTATGACAGAACTTAATGCACATGGTGAAATAGGCAGATTCTATTTTTAAGTGAGGTTAGTGTTACGTTATGTAGTTGGTTTAGATTTGCTTTTTAACCAAATTCTTCTTTGTGAAATAAACTCAAAGATCACTATACTAGCAAAGTTGTTTTCTCACATTGTGTCTCATCATTGACTTTTATCTTTTTAAATGTATTACCTGAATGCAATAATTTCTGACAGTTTGAGTATGTAGTGACTCTGTTAATCTTTAAAATGTGATGGTTTTAAATGGATTGTGATAAAATATTTCATGGTGTTTTTAGTTAGTGTATTAGTCTTGTTTCTACTTGCAAGATTGTTTATGGGATTGTTTTGACTCTATTTCTGTTTTGTCTGTTAGTAAACTTAGGAGTCTCTTAATGTATTTCTAAAAGTTCATGAAAATAGGTACCTAGATTGGCCAAAGGAGGAGTGACAGATGCCTGACTGAAAGAAGCATGAGCATCTGATGTGGAACCATGTGGGTGAAAGATCTTGCTGGTATCAGCTGCACAGGCAAATAAGTGTTTAATATTAGTTTAAGGGCACAAGAATTCTTTTTCTGCTACAGATGTGTCATAGTGTCTCTGTAGGCTGAATTTGCATTGACAGTGAAGAGATTGATAAATATCTGTACCTCTACAATAGTTTATTTTCCTCTCCCTACAGCCCAAGTACAGTTTGAAAGTATCTGCATAAGTATATAAAGCAGCTGAACTGGAGTAGGGTTACTCAGAGTATAACAGGTTGTAATTCATAACAAAATTTTAACATGTTTCTCCATTGTTAAAGAATTGGTGTCTTCTGGGTGTAAGTTACTTTGCAAACTTAATTTAGACAAAGTTTACATATTTTAAGTGGATCTGGAAATACTATTTGCAGGCACTTTAAACAGTTATACAGCACTACTTCAGTTGCTAAACTAAGAGGCACCAAATTCTGACTGATGCATGCTGCAAAGAAATCCCCACAGATCTATTTTTACAATTACAGAGATCATTAACTAGTTAGTTGTTGTTTTGTTGTTTTGTTTTGTTTTTACTTCTGATAAGCAAATTTCTATTCCTAGGGTTTCCCTTATGCCATGGACTTAGTTTAGGAAAAAGACACAATGACTTGGCCTACTGGTGTAGCTTACTTTTATGACATTGTTACCTTATGTAAGGTCTGTTATTTTGAGTGAGTTTTTTTCAAGTAATATACATGCAGTTATCTTCCTCCTTTCTACTAGAAGCAGCAGTGCCTCCCTGGGTAGACAGCAATGAAGAAGAGACAATTCAACAACAAATACTGGCTTTATCAGCAGTAAGTATTTCATTTCCTCTAAGATTTGAAATGTTCTCTTGGAGAAATTAAAACTGCTGGGTTTTTAAAGTAAGTTTATTAAATTATGTGTTTTCAGGATATTTTTGTCTGTCATGACACCAATCATGTGCAAGAGTAAATAGTTCTATCAGTTTCAACTTGAACCAAAGCAGAGCCTCAATATAGTTTTTATTTTTAGAAAGGCTTTACAGATTGCTTTGCTGTTCCTGTGTGTGAAATGTGGTGTCCATTTTCTGATATCATTTAATGACTACAAATATGTTCTTCAAAGGATAAACGGAATTTTCTGCGGGATCCTCCAGCAGGTGTGCAGTTTCATTTTGACTTTGATCAAATGTACCCTGTTGCACTGGTCATGTTACAAGAAGATGAGCTTCTCAATAGGATGAGATTTGACCTTGTTCCCAAACAGTAAGTAATTTCTGCTGGTAACTGTACCATCGTGCTTTTAATGTGTCTGTAAATACTCATAATTTTTTTTCCTTTCACTTCCTTCAGTTCTTTATGTTCTTCCTATGTGTATATACATTTTTATGCTAGTGTCTAACACATGCAGTATTGCATGTGCATTGCAGTTTAGTAATTTGAGGTAAGGAAAAAAGTATATCAGTGAGACAGAACTACTAATGACCTGTTGACTTAAGTATGGGAGAGGTCCTCAGTATTACCATGTCCAGTGTGCTAAATTTAATGATTATTTTTCCTCCAAAGAAAGGCAAAGGCAACAATCAAAATGTTCAGATCTGTTGGTATAACTGACATCCCAAAAAGGTGATTACAGATAGTCAGAGACCGCCCCTGGAGATATGGTAATAGAATGTGTCACAAAAAAGCAGCAATGCAAGCAAGAAAACTGGATTTGGATAGGAAATGAGAAAAGCTCTGTGTTGCAGAGCTTTATTCTGGAGCTGTTATTCCTTGTCCAGTCCTAGACTCTGTTCCTAATGCTTATTTCACAACTCAACTTTCTATTTAAGTGGGAGTTTCTAACATTAGTCTCCTTGTCTAAGGATGAAAAGGGAAAGAAAATCTCTCCTTGTGACATTCTGTCTTAAATCTCCTCCTTTTATAAACCTTCCCAGCTCCTCATTCTGTTTACCTTCTTCTCTGTTGTCTGAAGATCTGCCCATATTCTCTGATGCTGTCTTCAGCCTCTGGTCATGCTATCCTTGCCTTTTCTACCACATTGCTTAATATTTTTTTCACCTGTTCTTAGTCTCAGTCACTGTTCACCTGAACAGGTGTGAAGGTAACTTCATTTTTTCTCAACCTACACAAGTTCCTCCCCCACAGATCTTGCTGTTTCTGTCTTCTGTTGCCTGTGGGTTAAAGTTGGGTCTTGTCTTTCTTGCTGGAGGAATTTCAGAGGGAAATGTTACCTGAGGCAGGGGATAGTCTCCTACTTACCAGAGCTTGCCATTTCCAAGATGGCAGTTTCTTGTTACTATAGATTCTGTTCATGTGCTGGAAGATGTGCAGATAGTGAAATAGTACTGCTGCAATCTAGGAATGGCTTCTGCCACCACAGATGTTCCAGTTCCCCCTGACGTTTAGGGAAGATGTAGACAAGTATAGTTTGACAATAATAGAGTGTTTGGCTTAGAGGGGAAGAGAACAGGGATGCTTGGCTTGTTGAGTTTGTTTACATAATTTTTCAGGAGAGATGGAACAGCATAATATTTTTCTATACCATGCATTACTGCATGTTGTTAAGCTTTTTCTAGAGCTATAACATTACTATTGTAGGTTCAAGTCAATTGCAAATGTCTTGTGAGAGATCAGGAACTTCTAAAATAATGGACTTTTTAGACTGTGTTAATGTCACAAATTTCTTTTTTAAGATGTTACTTAAATATCAGCTATGTCTATTCCTCCTCTCTGCATATTTAATTTTATTTCACTGCTTGATGGTAAAAGGAACCATATTCCAGATGTAATAATCAAAATCTGTTTGTTCTCTCTAGTGTAAAGGAGGAAGTGTTCTGGAGAAATTATTTCTACAGGGTGTCCCTAATTAAACAGTCTGCACAACTCACAGCACTTGCAGCTCAACAGCAAGCAGCAGGAAAGGAGGAGAGCAAAGGCAGAGAAGAGGATAGTGAACTGAAAGGTATGGGAAACATTTGTTTTAGCATAGTTCATTAATTTAGTGTAATGCTATCTAAAATCGAAAGAAAAAATTTTCAAACAGGATTAAAATTGGTAACATAAAAGAGCAGTCTTTTAATGAAAGCCTTCAGTTGTACATATAATACCTATATTCATGTGCAGCACAAATTTTCACAATTTGTATAAGTTTAATTAATTAGCATGTCTAGCAAGTACATCCAATAGGGGAACAGTTGCCCTGTAACCCACCCTTGGATCTGCCCCATTGGAGCACCTCCAAGGATTCTTAGCCCTATATCTTGTTATATCTACAAAGTATTTTATTATTTCAGCCCAGGTGCTAGTGCAAAACAGGATGTCCTTGTTAGAAACTCTTTTTCTTGAAAATAAGACCAAACAATTTCAAGAATGTGTCATAATATGTGAGAAAGGGTAACTACTGTTCTAAAGTGTGAGAAAGTGCTAAAAACTATACAGCTGTATATTAAAAATGTACAAAGCTACAAATATGTTAAAAAAGCTAAAAATCTTCAGGCATCAACAAACGCTCACTGTATACATCAGGTGCCATCACGTTTTTATGTTGGATTGCTTATTAAATCAGGGCCTCTCTCACCATACTTGGTGTCTTTCTGTGGACTGGGGAAGAGGAGGCTCCTGGTGCTTTTAAGCTGTTTTCCACTTTCAGCCATCTTTGTCAGAAGAGTGGAAGTCTCAAGGGGTGAAGTGTTGTACTTGGCTTATGGCAGGCAGCTCGTGACCATTAGTGTCTTAGGGTGTGATTTTTAACTTGTCACAAAGAAGTAGGAGATACCTTTGGTTTACTTGTTCAGACAACAGGTACTAGCCAGCCCAGCCAGCTGGCATATGGATTGCTTTTGAGTTTTGCTCATCCCTCATGCCAAACAGAAGTTAGTGAGTGATACAGGGGTAGAACTACTGTGGTGGTGAAGTGCAGGGTATGCAAAGGCCCATAATATATTGTGGAAACAGACAAAAAGGGGGGCAGGAGGCTACCTGGGATTCAGCCTTGAGATGAAAAAGCTGCTTCACAAAGGTGTTTTCAGTTACATTGATCTACAGGTAAATCTTACTGGCCCTCTTACAAACCACTGGACCTCTTTGCATGTTAACAGATTCTGCAAATAGGAATATCTGTGGCTTAAAGAGTATAGAGTAGTTAGTTACTGGCAGAAACACAAAAGATAACCAGTAGCTCATTAAATCTTAGCCTAACTTAGGTACACCCACCACCCCAATAAGACACCTGAAGGATCTTGGCAGGCTGGGTAGGGATTGGGCAGAATGAGAAAGTCTTGTCTGCATCTTGGAATGGTTCTCATATCCCCAATATCAATGAATTGTCATCCATGAAGTCCAGTAATACTTACGTCCTGTTGACACTGTTGGCCTGACTGACAGTCAGGTGATTGCTGCCAAGTTAACTTGTTTTTCTACTTTTTTGAATATAATATCTTTCCATATAGGTATTTTTCCTCTTAAATCACCTTTCTTATTCTTTTTACTGACTTTTTCACAGGTCTTTTGCACAGCTTAGTAGTCTTCTGCACTGAGCTAAGGTTACTCAGTTGGGCTTAGCTGCCCATCCAAGGAGCAGAACTTTGGGGTGAAGGGGAGGTTACAGATGGAATTACAAAGCTGGGCTCCCATGTTGCCTATGTGCCTTTGTTGTCAGTTTGTCTCGTGCTTCTCATTAGGTTTTGTTTGAAGTGTGCCTGTTTCAGCCTAGGCAGGGTCCCCATATAGAGTGGAAAAAGTAGTTTTCTCTGAGTAGATTTTGTAGTAGCCTGTCCTGTCAGCATTGTCATCCAAGCAATGCTGACAGAACAGGCGACTCCAGAATATACTGTAGACCAAGAGGCACCAATTCCCACTAGTTTTATTCAGGACAGTTGTTTACTGTCCCAAAACTATGGCTGTTTTAACTGGTGTCTCAGCTTTACAAGAGAGATGGCATCCGATCTATTGAACAACAAAAATGCTATGTTTGAGTCATCCAAACCCTTGGAAAGTACCATTCACTCAAAGTGAAAGGTGCTGGATTCTAGTAAAATTCCCATTGTGACTAAAGCAAAACATACCTTCATTAAAAAAAAAACCAAAAAAACCAACAACTCCATTGTCGTTTGGCCTGTTGCAGCTCTTCTACAGTTCAAACCACCAGTATTTTATATGCAGATAGAGTTACTAATGGCTGCATGTTGTGAAATGGCAAAGTTACATGTACCAGACTGTAGTAAATGCATGTTTTGTTTGACTCAGAAATTGCATAGATTTGGGAAGCTCTGAATCATATGTGTTATTTTTGGTTTAAGTAACCTTTTTGAAAGTTTGATTCCCTAATTGGAAGCTAAAACTGGAAGTAATTGCCTGTTGGTTGTTCTTCATAATGTTCAGGGTTTCTTCTTAAAGCTGAGTGTCTATAAAATACAATTGTTAGCCTTCCATTTCTGTGTCTCCTTCTTAGCTGCTATTTTCAGAAAGTTAAATGAGCGTGGTTGATGTGAAAGGAGAAGAAACAAATGGAAGACATTCCACATTCTAGTGTAAAGGCTACATAAGATCTATAAAAAAATGCCAAGTTGTAGCCCTTCTCTAGGTATTGGTAGCTCTGTAGTTAGGGAGTAAGTCACCTTGGGATGGGAGCACACTGCAGTGGAGGAGATGATGCCAGGCCAGTAGTCCAGAATGGTGCTTATGCTGCATCAGTCACACCTGATGGGGCATGGCCCAGTGCAGAGCAGCTGTGTCACTGCCTGAGAGCAGCAGGTGGGGTCTGAGGCACCTCTCTTGAGCAGCAAACAGTTACTGCCATGTCCTACAGCTTCCCCAAGCAGGGAATGCTGGAGCCTCTTTGGCTGAAGTGTTGGGTGCAGTGAGAGATCCTCTGGAGATAGGAAAGTGAAAGAGAGAAGATGGGACAGAGCAGTGGGCATTGAGTAAATGAGCTATAAAAGCAGGGACAGCTACCAGTTAGGGAATTATTTTAATTAAAACTGACCTTAATTTTAAAAATTAAACACAAAGAATCGGAAATTGCTGAGTTAGCAGGAAGGATCCAGCTGGGCATCCTGTAGAAAGCAGAGCTGCAAGCTCAGAGCTGCTTTGCATGTTAAGGCAAAGAGAACTGCTAAGCAAGCACTTGATCACTACCACAGCCTCCCCTGAATGTTAACTGTTCTTGCAGCCACCTGGCTCTTCATTGTAACTCTTCTCCCCTCAGAGTTGCACAAGGGAAAAAGTTTTCCCTTTACCTGCCAGGGAAAAGATCTTGTAAACAATTGTTGTCTTCCTCGCACCATGCTCTAAATACAGAACACCAAGGTTTTTTAAGAAATCAAGACCATCTTCTAGGGTTTGTTTCTCAGAGACTTCCTTTGGCTGTGTGAAAGGTCAGGCTGCAGAACACTGTTCCCATGTGCCCTTAAGGGTGTGCATAATACGTGTGCAGTCTCGTCTGCCCAAGAGCTAACTGGCACCCATACGAGCAATAGAACCCAGCCAGGGGAGTTTGAAAACTTCTGTGATAGACAGTGACTGGATTTCATTACCAAGTCTATGCATTTGTAATTTTAAAGATCTTGGGATGTCATTTCGAGGGTCAGAGGGATCCTGTCTATTAAGTTTGGAGCCATAATGAGGGAATGGCTTGCTAAATTTGTCTTAATTAAGAATAGAAAATTGTTTTGCTTTGTTTTTGAAAATTATTCACCTGTGGCTAAATTCAGCCTTTAACCGCAATGATTCCTTAAAATACAGTATTTCCTTGTATATTTAACAGCTATACAAATTAAATTATATTTTTATATATTTAAATGTTATCTACCTTTTTTTTTTCCCTTGATAGAAACAGTACGGCCAAAAACACCGCCTGTTACAATAAAGCCTCAAATAAAATCACAAGAGGTAAAAATGCTGTTATATTTTATCTGGGATTTAGTATGTGAAGCTGTTCCTTAAAAAGTAATTATGCATCTTTTCGAGTAAGTTCTGCTATGAAATCATAATAATAGAGTATCTGACAGTCCTAACCTGATGCTGTTCTGCTGTGATACTAATTTTCAACATTTAATCTTGGAACTCATTTTTAGTAGCAGAAACAGTAGTTTATCTGAAGAATGTTTTCCTTAGTATCCTGCACATTATGATGTGATTTTACTGTCAAGAGTGAAATTTCCAAAATGTTTGGAGTTGAAGGTTAGCATTGCATTGAGACACGAGCAATACCTTCATAAAAATCTATTTGTGTGCCATGTTCTGTCCAGCTCTTCAAGCAGTGGTCAGGCTGACATATAAGGAATCTAAATTACGCATTGCAATAGCAACACTGTTTTATTTCACTTTTGCTTGGTACTGCAAAAGCTTTTACCTTAGACACATAATGACCTTTGTTCATTTCTGGATTGTAAAGTTGGTGCCAGAAAACACTCTTGGCAGAAACAGAGCTGTGCATTCACTTGCCAATAATATGCAGCGGGCAAAGATTTCCAAAGAACAGTCCTCTCTTAATCTTACTTTGATGAAGAAAGCTATTACTGAGTCAAATTTTTAATATTTAAGCCCTGTTCTAAATCACTCAGGAGTTTATTTTTGTATCTGAAGATTACAAACTCAGAATTAAAGTTGTTAAGAGGACACAAAGGCAGCCTAGAATGTAAACCAAATCATTTTCAGTACAGCTATCTAACATTTTTGTTTGTACAAAAATACTTGTAAGGAAAAGTAGCCAGTAAAGAAAAATAGTTGTGAGAGTAATGCACTTCAGTTTTGCCAACTCTAGTTAAAAGCAGTCACGAGTGAAAGTATGTATGGTGAGTTTTTTTACCCTGTCTGTATAAATTTATGCTGAAGTGTCTTGTTGCAGGATGAGGAAGAAATTTCCACAAGTCCAGGTGTATCAGAATTTGTGAGTGATGCTTTTGATACCTGTAATCTGAATCAGGAAGATCTAAGAAAAGAAATGGAACAACTAGTGCTAGACAAAAAGAAAGAAGCTTCAGTAGTAGAAGGTAAAGCTACTATTACCTCTGTTTCTTACAGGCTGATTTAAAAAAAAAAAAAAAAGTTGTAATTCAATTTGAAAACATAGATCTGTGACCGTTTTTTCCAAAGTGTATGAAAAAACCTTCAGTGAGATACTTCAGAAATTAATGGTAATTTTCACCATGGTCAAACCACCTCTTATACAGAATGCTAACTGTGCGTGGTTTAAATCCAAAGACCCTAAGAGTTTTAGGTCACTCTTCTATGAAAGTGAGTGTGGGGTATTTTTTTTTCTTTTTATCTCCTCCTTTCTCTTTCATAGGTTCTTCTGCAGCTGAATTGTTTTCTTTAATTTACATCCTTGTAGGTCAGGTACTGTATTTGAAAATCAGGCTCTGTTTTCTTCTTTTGGCACCAGCTAAAAAGGCAACATTTGCACCAGACTATGTGCTCAAAGAGACCTCTGCCTATAAAGGTTTATATTTGGAACAGTTAAAATTTACTAAATAGTTCTGAGAATGATGATAAGAAATTAAGTGGAGCTCATTAATTAAAATAATTCAGAAGAACTAGTTTCAGTGTAAAGAGCATAAAAACAGCCTGTGATGGTATGACTCTGGCCATACATAATTTACTTTGACAACACTTGAATATGTAGATACTTATCACAAAATTTGAAAAATTTTCTTAGAATGTGCTTTGGATTTTCTTGCATCTAGTTCTTTGATGAAAGTGTTTCAATAGGTCATTAATGTGTTACTTGTTCAGAGAAATCTCAGCTGGCCCGAACTGATTTGGACTCTGGAATTGCGAACGTTCCTATGCAGCCAACGTGGAACACATCAAACGCCCATCTCCTCCCCCACACTCTTGCCTATGATAGGCAGAGCTAATTAGAACAGAGATTAACAACACAAGAATGCCATCTGAGTAATTTTTTGCCCTGAAGTATGAAATAAGATTATCTTTAACCCTGATTAAATGAGCTTGCCTAGCTGCAAATGTCAGTGAGGAGAGTACCTTCTTTGTTTTAAACTAGCCACAGTATTTGATCTTGATTTCTTTTTTCCATGATGGTATATCCACACTTTTACAAACTTTATTTTTTTATGGAGATTTAAAATTGCAAAGGGAGATTCAATTGGAAGTAGAGTGAAAGACTGTAGAAAATTATCTTGGAAAGGGACACTCATAATGACTTAGCTGTGTATTTGCTCTTTATATCTTTATTATAGTATACATAGAGGAATATAGCTTTTTATATTAATTCATTCCTACTTGTGATCAATAGGAAGGTGAAATTTCTGAAGTGCCTCTTGTTTCTAAGGAGAGTAGTCCATAAAGTATAGGAGATAAATGAGAGATTCAGTACAAATTCATCTAGTTTTATATAAATAAGCAACATGCAACATTATCTGTTAAATTCTTACACATCATTTGTCTCTTTTAGAAGAAACTGCTGATTGGGAAAAGGAATTACAACAAGAGCTTCAGGAGTATGAGGTGGTGACAGACTCAGAAAAGCGTGATGAAAACTGGGATAAAGAAATAGAAGAAATGCTGCAAGAAGAAAATTAAACATTTTCACAAAATCACTATAACCAAAGCTCTTTTGGAGGACTGACATGGATTTCTGCTTTCATATTTTGCTTACAAAAATATCTTCAGAAGACATAAAATAATCTAAAGTCATTATAATTCCATATGGGAATACAACCAGTATTTCTGTTCTTTATATGAGCAGTTTCTGAACTTCTATATTCTTCAAAAGAAAAAAAAAAGAGGAGGCAGATACTGCAGGTTATAATTAAAAGTGATAACATTAATACATGAAGCAGTGGTTCAGTTTGAAGCGTTTTTAGGTGATCAAGAAGCTCTTCAAAGAGATTTCTAAATTTAAGAACCGCAATTTTTTTGTCTACAGCCTTCTATTTGGGATGTAAAAATGGATGTTGTAAGTAACTTAGTCCTTGGCAGCAATTCTCTCTTGATATTTGCACTCTGATTCCTGTATAATCTGTAAATGTGTACTATTTTTAAGGTACTTATAGTTGGTAGATTTCACATGTATTTAACTTCCTTAATGTATGTAGCCAAAGAATTTATAGAAAACCCTATCAAATAGCTTTCAAGGATTTCGTAAAACATACTAATGCAGACTCCAAAAGAAGCTGGTTATTTATCAGTTAGGCAGCAAACATTTAAGCATTTAAATTAGTAGAGTTAGTAACTGCTTGAATTAAATTTGGGTTTGTTAATCATATTGATATACTGCCTTTCCCCACGTAGAGAAATGGTTTAATGCATTCTTTCTGCAGAAGGGTGTTATGGTTCCATTTAATTTTACTGTCTAAGCTGAGAGCAAATTAAATGCTTCTCCTTAATTTTAAGTGCTGAAACATTTATGTGAAAACTTCCACTGGTTTGGACATCTTTATTAAATATTGTAAATATGTATAAAATTGGCTCATTTGTTTGGAGGGAGGGCAATGAGGAGTAAATATGCTTCAGACACAGATTTTTAAAATACACTTTTTCACAGTGCTTAAGACATAGAATTTAAATTTAAAAATAGGGGTTTTTTTCTCTAAAAGGTTTTTGATTCTTCATAGCCATCTGGATGTTTCATGTAGTTTATACCATTAAGTGAGTACCTTTATGTATAGATAAATGAAAATTTTATTAAATTTTCTGTTCACTTTGTCATCTATTTCATAAACTTCTATGACAAAGCATTCATGACATTCCAAATACAAAAGAAAATGGGTAAAATTAAGTAGGTCGGAGCCATTAAGCACAATTGAATTATGGGCATGTTACATACAGTAAGCTGTGTCTTAATGACATAATTCTGCAGAAAACTTTTGTAAAGAGACTGAAGAGATTATATCTGTAATTACTCAGTCAATATTCATCCTGTGGAAAATGGAAAGAGCTAAGCAGTTTCCACTGCTGTTACTGTAAGAAAGGAATATTTTAAATTGTCTCATTAGCAACTTGGACAGAAAGTTCTCCTCTGTTTCGTGCTATGGAAAAGGAATTGTTTTAAACCTGCATACATTTGGCTTCTCAAATTAGTTCATTGCCATACACTTTCTCAACTTCAAACATTTTAAACACAATTTGTTTAAGGTTTTTCACTTAGTTTACAGATGCAAGGTAAGTCATGGTAAATAAGATGTACTTAAGGAGCTTTTATATCTGGGATTAATTAAAGACGACAAAAGTTAAATCTGTTATGCTTATAAAAATAAGTGTATTCACAGCTCAGTGCTTACTCTTGACAAATACAATTGCTGTAGATTTAAGCTGGAGATACTAGGATCTCTCTACTGTACAGTTTGACATGATGCCTTCTAAAAAATGGGTAATTCTATTCTGATAGTGGCAAATATTCCCTGGATGACAGAGAGCTCCAAAATCGCTGCTCTAAAAGTCTGCTTTCTTAAAAACAAGCCTAATCATTCCTAATGATTTCAGGTGTATGATGGCCTTATTTGCATGGGGCTTCTACATCAAGCCTGATCTTTCTTTTCATGTAATCATAACCTATATACTGGTCATAGATATTAAATTCCTTTTCTCATAAAAGATGGCTCCTTCATATAAAATTTTCATTTTTCCCTTTTTGTGAAAAGCAAGTACGTATATAAAATAAAAGAAACCAACCCACTGATTAAATTTGCATTTAAAAAGACAGTAATGTAGCAAGGCTGAATCTGACTTGAGCTCTGATATTTAAAGTCTCTTATCAAAAGTCATATTAATATTTTCAAATCTGGGTATCTGATTTTAAGCTGGAAAACTGAAGTAAATTCTCCATAATCCTGCATTTTTCAGGCCTGGCCTATGCCTTTGATTTAGTAAGTGCTATAAGTGCCTAGCAGTTCTTATTATGCATGGGAAGAGGGAAAGCTTCTGCATTCTACTTGCCATATGAGAGGAGCACAAGTAGCCCTTTTCATGTTCATGATGAATTTTGCATGCCTTTGTACCCAAATGTGTCATAATAGTATATTACATAAGCAGGAGTGCTGGTCTTTTCTTAACAACATCATTCCAAGCACTGGGATGGTACAGATGCTAAAATCCAGCAAAACAGTGCTACAAAATCAGTGACAAAATGAAACCAAAAATTAATGTAAATAACAGCATCCTGTGGATACAGTGTGACAGAAACTACAGTTGTTCAAAACATTGAGAAGAACCAACAACAAAATAAAAGATAGTCAACAAATTTTCTTGGAAGATAAACTTGCAGATTTTTTAATGAACTTTTGGGAAACAGGGCAAAAATCACCCAGGAATCATGTAGGTTAACTTAGAATAGTTCTGAGATACCAGCAGCTCCACTTATTTTGTGCACTGAACAATCATCTTCAGCTATTAGTTTATAATGCCAGTTGGTGTTATTAATTCCTGTATGGAATTTTTAAATTTTAATAGTCTGTCCTGGAGGAAAAGATTGTAAAATCTGCGAATAAAAAAAGTGTAGTGAAAAGTTCCCCTACGTTTTTATTTGACCACTTACAGATGATCTGTTATCAAAGTTAATCAAAGTTTTCAGTTTCCTGAATTGTTTTAGTAGACTTCTAATTTTTTTAGGGTTTTTTGCCTCAGTATTTTTTTCCTTGCTGTGTGGTGATCTTGGTGGTCGGTGGGGTGATGTGTGTAGTACTGACGTGCAGGATGTCAGTTTTAACCTCATGCATTTAAGTAACCCTATGTGCAGGAGTGTGTTGCTGGACTCTGAGATGCATCCTTGAACTGTTGGCCACTGACATTTTATTGACTTTTACTTTGCAATATCTATTGCACAGAAAGGAGCAAAGTGTGTCTGGTTACTTCCCTGTGCACTGCCAAGCAGTAGCAGCCACATCAGCCCCTCAGTCCCGGGGCTGTGTCAAGAATGTGGTTGTACCATTGATGCCTTTTTCTCTAGTCCTAAAAATACAAGCCAGACACAGGGTGATAAAAAGGGTGATCCTTTATATAAGGATCCTTGGGTGCACAGCTGGTTAGGTGGAAAACACTGAAGATGCATACCCTGCAAGATGCTTACACAATTTGTATAGATTTTATAAATTGGCATATCTGACAAGAGTCCTGCAATTAGCAACTGACCTGGTGAAGTAATCCCCCCTAGTTCTAGTACCTTCTAAATTCTCTCCACCTGCAGTGGGGACCAGGCCCTATTTACAAACATATGCCTCAAAAAGCTGGTTTCTACCTTGGTTTCTAAGGAGAACTAAGATGGGATAGGGGTCCTGGAATTTGTTTTGTCTTCCTGCCTAGGAAAATGCTGAAGCTAAGCTACAATAAGAAGCTACAAATATATGTGTAAAGAATACAGACAATAGATAAAAGAAGAAAAGGTAAAAACCAAACCCATTTACCACCTTGATAAGGGACTGAGTTTCAATTAGCAGAAGTCTACAAGATGTATTCTCTGCCCTGACAATCTTTATGTCTCAGTAAGAGCTGAGTGATATGTCTGTAACAGCAGTACAGTAGCCTAGCCTTAAATAACATTACCCATTAGATTTTTCTTCCAAAATACTAATTTTCAATGTTTTTCTCCTTTGTGTTAAACATTTGGATTGTTCATGTGTGTTAGATCATCATTCTAATTTTTTTAACAAAATGGCAAGTCAATTTCTTGCTATATTTTCTGTATATATTACAGTTAACTATTGGAGAAAACAACAATTTCTGCAAAAATATCAGAAGACATGCATGGCTCTGTTTTATTCTCACTATAGCCCAGCATTTCCCATAGATCAAGACCATGCATTATATAAATGCAAACCCACATATATTATAGTATCTAAATACATTAAAGAAATTATAATGTACTTTTCAGCTGTTACTTTGAACTGATACCACTGAGAGACAAAGGGCAACCAAAATAATTAGCATTAGTTTGTCACATTATCATTTGTAATGAGATGACTCTCTGTAGAAATGAAGGACGAAATCACTTGCTTTGTTTCCTAAAAGACTGGTTTTCATTATGGACAGGTTGAGGACACTTTTCTTTGCTAATTCAGGAATTCATGAATCTATGACAAACCTCTCCAGATAAACTTGGGAGATATAATTAACCCAAAACTGCACAGGAAAATAGGTTATTTTGTCTTGGTGTGGTTCTGGCAAAGTAGGGAAAGACACAAAAAGTGCCTCTAGTTAAGGGCTTTTATCAATTTATCAATTTATATCAAATTAGAAGAATAAATATTTGATGCCTTCTGATATATAATGCTCTAAAGAAAACCATGCTTAGTGGTTTTTTTTTTATTTGTCTGCCTGCATAAAACCTTAATTCTGCAGTTTTTTTTATTTATTTCTTCTTGTGGCTGTAGTTTCCATACACAAATGTGAATGTTTAAGAGCCAGATAAAACTGCTGCTTTTCTGCCTTTCCTCTCCTTCCCGATTAAACCCATTTACATCACAGTTAAATAATGGCCAGAGAATGGGCTGATACACCCAGCTTCTTGTCCCACTTACTTCAGAAATGTTTTAATGCTGACCTTGTGCCCTTTGATGCCAGCAATTTAAATATCAAACAGTTCTGGTTGTGCTGTATCATCACCACCTTTCATCCTGTATCAGGTGTAACAAGATTTTCAAGCCCATCATGTGTTGGGTGGATGAAAGGTCCTGCTGTAAGGATGTTACTGGGGTGGAGAGGAGCTTCTACTGATATTTGCTGTGGATGTGGAAACAACGATCTCTTGGTGGGATGCAGTGTCAAAAAATTTGGGCATGTTCATGAAAGAGCAGGAACCACTGCCTAAGCAGGCAAAAATACTGGTGCAAAGGATCTTACAGGTGGAAGAATGTTGTTATCCAACCCACTTTGGGTTTCTCTGGTTGTGGATGTACTTACTAGTCAGCTGACATGTCTGAGCACATGTTGAAAACAGAATGGTTGTAAGCAATTACAAAGACCACTAATAATGTTTGCCCTGAGTCAGCTAGCAATCTCCCATCCTGGCCACTGCGCTGTTCCCGCTGGAGCTGGCAAGCAACCCAGCTTTGGAGGCCAGGTGCCAAGGGCTGCAGTAGGGAGTGGTCTGCATCCTCTTGGTCTGGGGAAGCAAGAAAGAAAGAAAAAAATCACCTGCTTATTAAGTCACAAGTGCAGGAGTAGCTTCTGGCGTGGGTATCAGCCCCTCAGTCCTGGCCGCTGTAACCCAGGAGAGGCTCAGTTTTAGACAGAGCAGTACTAACCCCCTGCCTCCTCACTGGGGCCACGGCTCCCCTTCCTACCCTGATAGCCAACATCCCAATTCTATTGCAAAGCATGTTTGCACAAACATTCAGCTGGCTATTGTTCTAATTCATAAGAAATGCAGGTCCTTTTTAAAACTAATTCATTACTTGCCTGGTATTGTGGGGTAAGAATTTATTGATGTGTGAAGGAGAAAAATATTTTTATTTGTTTTGAATTTA